AAACAAACAAACAAACAAACTTCCTTCAACATCCACAAAAGTTACGTAATAATACCCTCTACTCCAAGAAAACGAAACAGAAACAAACAAACAAACAAACAAACGAACAAACAAAAAAACAAACAAAAGCAACAACAACAACAGCAACTTCATTAACAAAACAACCCACCACCGGCAACAACAAACCAAATCAACAGAAAATAAAACAGGAAGCACAAAAATAAATAAATGCTAACGCAGTCCTTTCAGAGTAGTGACGTACCCTCATATTCATTTCAAATGAGAGAATGATCACAGTTTCAATAATGATAATGATAACAATATAATTAAATAACAAACTCGTTTCTTTTTCACCAGTAACAAGAACAATGGACAAAGGACAATATGAAAAAAACCCCAACAAACCCCAACAACAACATAACTGCAAACTTGCAACTCTTCAATATAAATCGACTGCTCGGGATAAAACTTCTCTTTTCGCAATGACGTATTGTACAGTCTAACCAAGGATGCTATAAACAGTACTATTCATAACCTCTCTGAGTCTTACACTACTAACTAGGTGGTCGAAATACAAACAGGCGTTCACAAGTTAAAAAGATCGCAGATCCGATTATTCCACTTTCGTTGTTTGATATTCCATGGCATTATTATCTATCTTCGGAGAACGAACAACAAAAAGAGCAGATTCAGTCATCTTTTGGGAATTACTTAGAATTTTGGTAGATATAATCACATCTATGATTGGGCGTGGGGGCAAGTGGCCAACAGAAGAACAAGTAAAAAAACAACAACCCTACGAATCAGTCTTCAAAATGACACAAAATCGTACTTTTTACTCAGGTTTTAGCAGTGTGAGATCACAAAAAAGAACATTGTGTACACACAGTTAAATCTAGAGCAAATAACGAGATGGCGCACTCCTCTGTTTGAGTATCTAAGATTTAAAAAAAGAAAAGAAATGACGTTGGCGACATGTAGATCTACATAAGAGAACGTTTGATGCGTTATGTTTTTGGGGAGTGATGTTCCGTTCTTACAAAAAGTACGAGTAAAACGTCTGTATGAAAAAAGAACTAAAATGGGTTAAAAATTTTTATTGCTGGCGCACTGCCGGTTGTGGCTGGGGGCAAGACTCACAAAAATAGGAGTCGATTTTCGAGGATATTTTTGTGGAGTGAACCGTTGTTTCTTTGGTTAATGGCAGGAACTCTGACATCGATAATAGTGGAAAATTAACTGTGGGAGACTCCCACACAGGAAACAATTATTTACTCTACTGGTTCGATTTTCATATATTTTTTTCTTATTGTAGCTGTGTAGAGCAGAAAGAGGATGTCGCAATACTCTATGGGAAGACGGCTCGTCGAAATGAATGTAATGTTATGTTCTGGCTTGCCAGAAAACACATTTATTTTCCTTATGTGGTTTTAATAGACAGAGTCTGTCTGTCTGTCTATTTGTCTGTCTGTCTGTCTGTCTGTCTGTCTGTCTGTCTGTCTGTCTGTCTGTCTGT